AGTGAATAGTATCAGGTTTGACTTTTTAGTGTAAAAATATTGTTTTTCGTTAAAGTGAACAGTACAATGGACTTTTCGTTAAAACTCCCAATTTTTTATGGTTTTTTATGTTAGCACCTCATATTAAAGTTTGATATCAAATGACTTATGTATCCTACTATGCAATGATAATTTTGACCTTATTAGGTTCATAATAGGGAATAGCATATAGGTTCAAATCTCAGCTTGTCTACAAACATTTTATTAGTGGCATGCCAAAGATCTTGTACGATTTTTCACTCACATAGACAAACAATATTTGGATAGATCTTTTTCTCCTTCGATAAAAATGAGAGGGTATAAGTTTTGAAAAATGTAGAGAGTGTACAAAAGGCGAGGTGCATGTAGAAAATATAAGGTGTATGTTTAGAATGTGGAGTGTGATGGTATTATAGAGAAGTACGTGCTTTTTAATTAAAAAAGCAAATGTTAGACATATTAAGTATGTAGAGTTTATTCAACTATGTGTAAAGTGTTAATATAATAAGCTTTTTTTATTTACGAACAAATTAATAAATATAGTAATGATTTTTTTATGTTTTTTTTACACTAATGATTGCTTTTGCCTTTTTCTATTATGTGGGTAGTGGCACAAGTGTCGCCAACAATTGGGTATCAGGTGACATCTATAAACTCCATTGATTCTTACGTACGGTTTTTTGACCGTTTGGGAGCTACTAACCAAAGGCCGGTGTTAGCGGTGTATCCAAGGAATCAAGTATCGAAAGAAGCAGTCAGTAGTATTTGCTCAGATTATGGCCCTCTACTGTTTCAAGGTCATCCCTTGGCCAAATTGCGTGACAATTATATGATTCAAAGAGTTGTTTTCCAACGAGAATCATCTGTTGATTACCTGATTCAAATGGCAGAAGTCGACCGTGGACGACCTCGAGTTCGATTTTCGAGCGAACGTATACTTAAGTATCTATCACTGCGAATTGGCCATGAAGTGTACAAGATTTATGTTGCAAGATGTTCAGTAACATTTTTAGAAAATTTAAATGTTATCGATGAATGAAGCTCTTGCTACAAGTTACCCGAGCATGTTCACCATCCACTTCCACTTCCAATTGGATGCTAGGCTGAAAGGGATTGCTAGCAAAGCATTGATCGTTTATGCTCCAAGGTCAAGTAATATTGTTCCTTCTGTTGCTGTTGAAGTTAAAGTTTAAGATGAACTTAGTTTGTTGCTTCAGTCTAAATTGAATTAAAAGGGTTATGGCCCTGTGAAGTTCTTGTTTCAGTTCTTCAATGCCAATGTTTGTTACGGATGGTAGTATTAAAAGTGGAACCTCTGTTGATTACTTGAATTTCTTGTTTCAGTTCTTCAATGCCAATGCTTGTTGCTTCCTATGTTGATTACTTGAATTTCTTGTTCCTTTCGTTACGTATGATTTGCTGTGTATCCATGTTCATTGTACAAGACCATGAAAATGTCTGATAATCTCTCGAGTACCATGGATGAAGAAACAACTCTCACATTGTCAGCCTTTCATATTCTCTGTTGGAGTTCATGAAAGGTTGGCAGCTAACAGTAACAGCCTTGCTTAACTAACTCTATGAGATTATGATACAGTAGTACATTAATTTGTCATAGCATCCCCCTCCATCCCAAGCATGAGATTGGTAAAACATTAGAGGAGAAAAACTAATCAAGCATTGGACTTGGCATAATCACAGTAGTAGTAGTAGTATAGATTTGCCATACAAGAATCAATCAATGTTTGAGAGAATTAAATAATGATGCCAATGCCAGTCATTGTGAAACTACCTCCAAGATTAATGCTTCTGAGTGCAAACTCGGGGGCCTTCGCCTTTGCCAGTCATTCGCATATGGATGCCCCGTCAAGCATGCATTCCTATGGCTTTAATTCACAACACTTTCAGTTGGATGCACGATTTCCAGGAGGCCAATAAAGAACCACTGGAGTGAGTAAACCTAAAACAATCATGATGGATGCCTCCTAATGAACACCTAAAATTCTTTATTGAAATATGCAGCATTCATGGGCAATATGCAATCATCATGTTTGACGTTTCCGCTAGGTCGACATACAAGAATGCCGTACATGGCACCGTGGTCTCTGCCGATGAGTTGGCTAAATTATTTTTGTGTCAAGTCTAACGTTTCTTTACATTTTTTTTTTTTACATTAGTTCGTGATGGTTTGGTGATTAGTATTTCACTCTGTGCAAGAACATCCCTATTGTTCTCTGTGGTAACAAAGGTTGATGTGAAGAACAGGCAGGTTACCTTCCACATAAAGAAGAATCTGCAGTACTATGAGATATCAGCAAAGAGCAACTACAACTTTGAGAAACCCTTCCTCTACTTGGTGGGTGGAACTAAATGTGGAGGGAGCCATAAGGACAACGGATGGGAGATGAGGTGCAATTCTATTCTTGTCGAGTAAGAAGAGCTCAAAATTTGGAGGGATTGAGTTGCTTCCTTACAACTCCCATCAGAATTCAAATTTCATGGTTATTTGAGATTAACTAAATAAGAAAATTCACAAATTCTCAAAAATAAAATTCAATCATTTCTATTCCGTCACTTATGAATTCTTTAGTAATCTTAAATTTCTTCATCTAAGTACGGTGTAGAGGAAAGTTGACCAATTTGAGAAAGTTTTGTTTCATAAATGATGAACATGAAACGACAGCTTTCGTCCTTTCTTCTCAATTCGGTTCATGGGAACATTGATTCAACAACCTGAAATATTTGAGCAGTGATCTTCCTATTGGACAAGTTCATCCGTAGGTATAAATCATGATAAGTTAAATTGCACCAGTTGAAGCGTAAAGTAGTAAACATTGAAATTAACGGCAAGGTTGCTCAAAATTATGGGCAAAGTCTCTAATTAGACGTTAAAATTGACGAATAAGTTAAATTGGTGCAATTTAAAAGTCACGTGGTATAATATGCAAAAATTGAAACTTGGGGATCGTTTTACAAATCACCCCTGAACCTTGCGCTATAAAATGCATTCAACCCAAGAAAAAAAAAATTGTAAGTGAGAAATTGCCGAACCCCAATATCGTTCGGTCCCGCGTTGAAAGAGATCGATGGAGGCGAACGTCCAGATGCAGAGCCCTAATGGTATGATTTGTGATTATCTAGAATTTTTCCAATTTTTATAGTTGTTAATTTACGCTCTAACACCCTAATGCCGAACCCTAACTCGATTTCTGTCGCTCTCCTGTCTATCTCCTCTGTTCTCTCTCAGACGAAGCCATGTTCGACGAAGCAACCATGGTCGATGATGGTATGCTTTTGATTCTCCATTTGGCTAATTTTCAATTCAGTATTATAATCTTTGGTTAGATATGTTATTGTGTTATAGAAACCACGCTAACAAAGGGTATGGGGTGTACGACGATGTGTGTGAGAAAATCAGTTATCGATCAAGGTTTGTTTTGTTGGGGTTTTGCTAAAATAATCAGATAATTAGAATTAGATGCCTCATTTTAGATTTTTCTAAATTAAACATCTGTTATTTTTTAATTTTAGATTTTTCTAAATTAAACATCTGTTACCTTTAAACTTTTTATCAAACATTCTTCTACTAATTTTTAATTAAAAATTATGATTTTTATTGTATTTAATTAACCAACTAGTTCAGAAAATAATATCACAAATATTTTAAAATCACCACAAACTTCCTATCTTATCTTATCATAATTCGTTCAAAATGAATTTTTCTTATTCAAATAATTTGTTGTTTTAAATTCTAAAAACACATAAACATCCTATTAACATACAATTATGAAATATAACATGCACATATATTAAATATAATGTACCAAACAGATATATTAAATATAACGTACCAATCATTTGGTACGTTATTGGTACGTTATATAAATTTAATCTGGGTACGTATTAGTATTTTGGTACGTTATAAAATATTGCTTTTAGTATGTTATGCAATTCTTTATTTAGTACGTACCAAGTTATTAGTACGTTGTATTATCTTTATTTTGGTACGTACAAAACTTATGATATGTTATGTAACCCAAAAAATAGATAACTTTTCACATTAAAACATTGCACTAAAAAAATATTTTGTCAACTCTTAATAATTAATTATTGGAATAAGGACTCATTTTAAATAAAAATAAAAATGTGAAAACTCTTAGTTTAAAATGAGTCCTTATTCCAATAATTAATTATTAAGAGTTGACAAAATATTTTTTAGTGCAATGTTTTAATGTGAAAAGTTATCTTTTTTTTTTGGGTTACACAACTTATACATAACGTACCATAAGTTTTGTACGTACCAAAATAAGGATAATACAACGTACTAATAACTTGGTACTTACTAAATAAAGAATTGCATAACGTACCAAAAGCAATATTTTATAACGTACCAAAATACTAATACGTACCCAGATTAAATTTATATAACGTACCAATAACGTACCAAATGATTGGTAAGTTATATTTAATATATCTGTTTGGTACGTTATATTTAATATATGTGCATGTTATATTTCATAATTGTATGTTAATATGATGTTTATGTGTTTTTAGAATTTAAAACAACAAATTATTTGAATAAGAAAAATTCATTTGAACGAATTATGATAAGATAAGATAGGAAGTTTGTGGTGATTTTAAAATATTTGTGATATTATTTTCTGAACTAGTTGGTTAATTAAATACAATAAAAATCATAATTTTTAATTAAAAATTAGTAGAAGAATGTTTGATCAAAAGTTTAAAAGTTATAGATGTTTGATTAAAAAAATTCAAATTTGAGGCATCTATGTCAAAATGCCCTAAAATAATTAGCTAATCTGCTTTTAAAGAGTCTCCTGGAGATTTTATATTTGAAAAGAGTTATTTAAATTTCTGAAACCCAGTGTTGGCTATCTCTCGCCTATAGCTATATGAATCACAATTACGCTCTGCCTCTCACCACCCCACCTCTTATATATCGTGCTCTCTCTCTCTCTCAGATGAAGTAATGGGCAAATCTAAAGCTACCCTCCAACCAAAACCAAGTTGGTTTGATGATGATGATGACTGCATTGGGCAGAATCGTAACGGTATGCTTTTGATTTTTGTTTTAGTATTAAATCCTCATTTTCTCCCTAATGAATATGAATATGAATGCATGTATGATCCTTAATACTTCTTTTTTTTAGTGTATTCGCACTACCTTTCTAGTGCTTCAGTAGTTAATGTGTAGTCCTGTTCTAGTGTATTTCTAGTGTATTCGCACTACTTTTGTATGCTTCAGTAGTTAATAGTTGATTAACTGAGTAGAATTTGCTGCAAAAGTGTCCGTCATTGTTGTAATTTTCTCTTAGCTTTCGGGTATGCCTGCACTTCCTTGGTTTTGCTTTTTCCATTAGGCTTTTCAAGTTAGGTGGCATGGCTTTGTAATCTCCTAACGTGTTTCTAAGGGGTGTACTTGTAGCAAGACCGTTTATGAGCCCAAGTGCTACTTAGAAAAGTTGTCCCCATAAGGGCCCGATGTTTTACAACTCTATTTAGTTTAGACATGTAGTCATGTTTTTGTAGCAAGAAAAAGTCTTATGGGCCTTGAGATGATATGTTACTAATTGTTATTAGTATTCTTATTTTGTATTCTAACAATGAAACTTTAAACAAGCAGATGAAGAGGAAGGTATACAAAAGGCGATTGGAGACCCAATGGCTCGACTCCAACTGCGAAAAAAGCGTAATTACTGTGAAGTTTGTTGTGAGGAAGTTGAGGACCACAAGAGTTACAATTGCCCGTATTTTGTTTTGGTACCAAAGGGCGCTCGTGTTGGCGAACACTGTGATATAGTTTGCACAGAATGTGGTGAGCAAGTTTCCGAGCACGAAGGTGAGCTTAATGTGCACTATGAAGGACGTGCTATTTTGAAGTACTGTGATTGGTGTCGGGATTACTGTAGCCACTGGACTGAAGAATGCGAGTCCATGCCAAAATAGTGAAAATGTCACTGAAGAATGCGAGTCCATGCCAAAATAGTGAAAATGTCTGGACCTTGTCTTGGTGAGTAACTTAGTGGTAAGTTTGTTGGGAGGATTGAGGTGTTGCTGGATGAAGATGACTGGTTCTTGTAGTCGAGGGAAGATCGAGTGCTGGTAGTTGTTATGTGACAAGTCTTGTAAGCGCATCATTTTGGGTGTAATGAATCTAATGATATTGTTATTTGTAGTAGATGGTTCTGTTGTATATATAAAGAAGGGTTAACCCTACCTTGTTTACTTGTTTCATTGCCCTTATCATTGCTTATGAATTTTTGTGCAAGTAAATTAAATGGTTGGTATGATGACATTATGCTGCTCTCAAACTCATTTACTAATTAATCTAATCTTGACTCTTTAGATTTTGTGGCATTTCTTGGCAACCCATGGGTAAATCGGTTGTGTCATACAAGTTTTGCCTGTTTCATTAGAGCGACAAACCTTTTTTATGAGACAATTGAGTAGGCAACATTTTACGTCAGCATTTATCGTGCGATTTCGCCCCCTTTAATTTTCCTAATGCCGTTAAAGATGCTGCCATTGCAAAAGATTGGATCTCCTATACCTGACGACTAAAGCTTTGCCTGTCGGAAGTGCACAAACCAAAGCATCGATCGTTTTTCCCCGACAATTTGCATTCCGTTGGGTAAAAGTTATTCGCCCAATGAAATATTATTTGTCGAACAAATGGTAATTGCTGGTAGTGCAAGAGAACAAGATGTAAGACATATTCTGAAATCACAACAACAAGACAGTAGGATCACGAATAAATTAAATCAATATAAAATAGAGATGAACTAATTATATTTAACTTATCTGTAGAATATGAAAGACATGGCTCTTCTGGATGACAAAGGATGAGTTCACAAGGTTGTCTTCTCCTTCCAATACTCCAAAATATCCCTCTACTATATGAATATGTTTTAGTATTGTGAGGAATTCAACGTATGGAAGCTGGGACTTAACCTAGTATTTATACCATCAGGGTTCCTTATTAGCCGACCTATTAACAGCTACGGAGGTCAACCCTCTCACCTTGATTGAGTCCTATCATGATGCAATATCTTTGTATTTGAACCTCTAGATGATTCTCCTAGATTAGCTGCAATGATTTAAGACTCCACAATTCTTACTAACAAGGACTCTTAATTTACTGAAATTGCACATCGCTGAATAATCAGGTGATTTGTTCATCAAGTAAACCATTTGTCACACATTACCATTCACATAACTTTACACAAGAAGCATGTCACTTTTCTCTCATCCACTACCCTCTTAGTCTTCCATAGGTATCGAACATTTGAGGGTTCCTAAGTTGGAAACTTGGAGAACACATGCAAGGAAGATCAAGGGCAAGAAGCTTGGAGCTTGTAGGACGGAGCTTGGAGAAGTACCAACGAGAGCTTAGATAGAAAGCATGCTACAAAGGTAAGCTTCGAAACAAAATATCGTTTAGAAACTGAATTTTTTTCACTCGGGTTGTATTGAGTATTCAAAAGCTTATAAAATATAGAGTATTCACCCAACCACCATAAGTAAAGCTTATAAAATTCTACAAGTACACCCAGCACTTTCCACAAATACCCTTATTGAAACCCATTATCATTCACCCTAAGAATATGTAAGTTCACCAAAAAATAGGGGTGCAATCTGGAATGGTGTTTCTAATTTTGACTGTAAAATTTTAGATTCCGAATATTTTTCAAAAATTGGTTGACTGAACTCGTCCCTGTGCATTCAACTCTTAAGTGTTTCAAACTTATTAAAGACTTTCAAGATATGTCAACTTTTTATAGTAATTTTCTCAAATTATATTTATTTTTTAAGAAAAATTGATATATTATTGACTGAATGAAGATTATATCAAATCTTAGTCAAGGAGATCTTGAATAAAGTTAGGAGGCTCCTCAATCCAAACTAGTTCATTGCCAATTGACAAGGCAAACCTAGCCAATCTACGTGCAACACCATTACATGTTCTAGGTGTATGCAGGAACTCCGTGGTGTGAAGAAGGCGATAGGTGACGTCCTCAGCAAGAAGCCCCATGTCAGACAAACTCCCAGAATGATTGCCGATGAGAGTAACAGCTTGTGAGGAATCACTCTCCACCACCAGGCGGTGAACCCCGAGTTGCTGTGCAAGTCTCACACCTGCCAGAACTGCCCACAACTCCGCTTGAATCACTGATCCCACTCCCATCTTCCTCCACACACCAGCTGCCAAAAAATTCCCACGCTATATTTTGTAATCAACTTTTGTATTTATTCTTAATTTTGGATACATTTTGTTCACTGTCTTATATTGAATGTATACTTATATAACACAAAGTTAATTGAATTTATACATATACATAAACCAAATATTAATAAAAAAACAATAAATTGCATGACTGAAAAAGTTAGAAAATATTAAAAAACTTATAAATTATATGAATTTCTAAATTAAGTTTCAAATTTACTGAAATTACTCAGATTCTGAAAATTCCGGATTTGAAAGGTGTGATCTGATCCAACCCGATTCCAAAATTTTGGAACGGAAGTTGAAAAGGTTATTTTAGATATGTTCCTTCCGACAAATACCCCTACAACAAACACCCGCATACAACCCACATGCCTCAACGTTCTTTAAAATCTTGAAACAAAAAGTGAAAGATCTAGGTTGAAATTTGGGTGTATAAATATGTGTTTGTAAATGGATGACGAAAATTCATGGAAAAAATGAATCGAGTTGAGTGCGGTCTTGGTTGACTAAACTCGTCTCTATGCATTCAACTCTCGAGGTCTAAATATTAATGTAGTTGTTCAGCAAGGGACTTCTAAATATATTATATGAAGGACGTGCTATTTTGAAGTACTATGATTGGTGTTAGGATTACTGTAGCCACTGGTGACACACCCCGACCTGAATCGAGGCATGCTGGCCGTCACGTGAGGGTGATGTAGCCATGTGCGCAGTGTGGAAGTGATAATGATATGAAAATGTGAGTAATTAAAAACCAAACTAACTAATTTACACTAGAGAAATATATCAGTGTGTGAGAGTGTTTAAAGTGGGGATACAATACTCAAAGCGTAGTCATCGTAGGTGCAATCCAGCAACTAAGCATTAATTATACAAAACATGAAAGAAAGTTCCTACATGTACTTGAAGATTGTCAGAACCGCCGTAGAGTCCTTGTGAGCCACCACTACAAACGTCTAGCTAGAACCTGGAGGGGCGCAAAAATAGAAAACGTGAGTGGGCAAAAACAAAGCTTTGAAAACACATTTCTTTTTCAAATATAATAACCCCTCACCGTAAAACCCGTATAATTTCCCAGAAAATAAAACTACATACGTATATAGAAATCATGCTCAAGAGCAGTGGAAACCAAGTAGATGTCATGTCAAATATCTCAGTAATAAATATGTAAGCCAGGTGATGTGAATCAATGTAAAATGATATGTCAGCCGGAGTCACCTAACATGACCTGTACGGCTGAATCTATAGCTCATCTACTAATCTACCAATTCTTGCACACGAGTTGGAACCACCTAATGTGGTATGTACTACAGGCTGGGTGTAAATAGGTATGCTCAAGTGCTATGATCACATGAAGGCTGTGCGAAGTATTGCAAGTCACCTACGAGTCGGAACCACCTAATGTGGTCTGTACGACAGGCTGGCATCTGCCTTGGATTCAAGGTGAGCGTGTGGTGCGGGAAGTGAACGATCACGTGAAGGCTAGGCCCTGGCCTCGGGCGGAACACTAACACCGGGGTGTAGGATAATGAACATTAAACGCATCTAGGCATAACCATACACAATGCTAGTTAATATCATCAATATGCACTCACCTGACGCTTACCTGGGCGTCCGCAGCGTCATACAATATTATGCATATCTATACTAATGCATATACTAAAATGTGATGCAATTGACATGACATTTAAAAATGTAACTCCATTTAAAACAGTTTTTGGGAAAATGTAAAGCATATATACGTATATATAGAAAACCAAAAGCCTACTCACTGGTATGTAGCAGGGTCGTAGCCCCCAATTCTTGTCTGGCTACGCTCGTCCTCCGGATACGTCTCACTTATATGTGAAACAACTGATTAAACGTTAATTACTAAGCATGTTGATGCACAAAATCCGGAGGATCTTGGACCAACGTAAATCCTGCCGTGAATCACAAAAACGCTCAAGAACACAAAGATGTATCGTGGTTCACCCCAATGTTTGGGCTACGTCCACACTGATGTTGATTATGTATGTATGTATAGATTACAATACATCGGCAAGGGAGCTCTCTGTGGATGCCGCCCTTGCCATTTTCTCTCTGTTTGGCTGAGAGGGTATTGCCCTCTATATTGTTGTGAGGGTTGAGTATGAAACTCTTTGGAACTTCTGGATGTGAGGGTGAGACCCAGAAACGAGGCCCAAAGACGAGGCCCAATATATGGTACCAACAGGAGTCCCCCAAGTCTTCAGTTAAGAGAGGCTTTTGGCTGGAGACTTCAAATCCAATCCATGTATGGGCCGAAGTGGCTAGATTTTTTAAACCAGTACTCAACACAAGGCAATGCTCAACATAAAACAATACTCGGCTAGAGGTATTACACGTTACGAGACTGCTTGACTGGAGGCGATGCTCGTTGCGAGGCTGCTCGGCTAGAGGCTATGCTCACGGCGAGACGGTTGCTCGGCTGGAGGCGATGCTCGTTGCGAGGCTGCTCGGCTAGAGGCTATGCTCGCTGCGAGGCGGCTCGGCTCGTGGTATTCCTCATTGCAAGTATCTACTTTATGTCGACATGCACTCATTATGAGTTGATTCTCGACATGATTTGGGTCCGCTTATCGGGTTCGCATATTGGGTTCTTTTAATCAGCAACAATGTTGATCAGTGGATCTAGTTGCTCAATAATTCCTGACAATGAATGACAGTATAAGTATGACCGTATAATGAATAAATCAAATTGACAAAGTTTGTCAAGGCAAAATATTGTACTATGTGCCTTCTATAAATAAATAATTTATTCAGTCGTGTGGTAAATCACATGTTGTATAAGTGACATAGTTTAAAGGCAATCATATGTCACTAGGTAATGAATAAATATTGCACATGTATTTGGGTTAAATATGTGTCACTAGGTGCTGAATAATATATATATATATACATATACATATATATATATATATATATATATATATATACATATTATATTTTCCTTCGTGGGGCTGTTCTGGGATGTTGTTTGTCCTTTTATAATGAATGTTTCATCATAACGTTTAAATAATAAAGGTTACTTTCATCATAACATATATCAAAAACATATTAAATAAATGATGTCTGCTGAAAAGAAAAAGTAAAATGTTTTATTTCTTTTGGCAGAGAAGAGAGAGAGATGCAGAGAGCCTAAACAATGAGAAGCTGCCGCTCCATTCGTCAATCATCACTCCACTAAAGTATATATATATAACTTTATGTGATGTGCTTTGTAATGTTTTTGACAGTGAGCATGTGATAAAATCATTACATAATGTAAATGGTGTAGTGGATGTACAGACTTTTACCACGTTTTATGATAATGATCACTGTGATATCACATGTAAAGGAACGATTATATTATTTAACTAATATGCCATCATGTTAATAGATAATAATAAAGTAATAAAATAACAAAAAAAAGAATCTTATCTTGCTGTGTTCCGTGGCTTTTTTAGAAAAAGCCTTTTCATGATGAAAGTTTCATTGTTGGTGGGCATCTTCTGGCATTCTTTGATGCTTTTCATTTTTTGAATACTGAAGACGGCAAGCTCCACATTACTGTTAGAAAATCAAACGCTTTGCAATACTAGTTCTGCTGTGGGACTCTTATCTTCCTGTTCCCGTGGTTTTTTCAGAAAAGCCATTTCCCATGTTCTCGAACTCCTCGAAAGCGAGCTCCGGATGCTCGTGGATTCTCTGCAAGCCAGTTCTCCGTGGCTTTTCCCGTTGCTTTTTGGAGAAAGTGGAGCACCATCTCTTGGCTCTTTTGGGATCAATTTTCCTACCATTGAATGTGGTTTGTAGTTCGCATTGGCTTTCCTCCTTCATTCTTTAGCTGCTTATTAATCTGCTGCTGCTTATTAATCCCCTGCGTTTCTTTCTCATCGTCATTGATGCTGTTATGATCGGAAGGCGTGGACGGATTCGACGACGACCCCGTGGGTCCTACTGTTGCGGCAGCGGCAGAGATTTCATCGGTGGTGAACATGGACATGAACTGTTCGTCGTCAAACCTATCAAACTCGTGATTGTTGTTAGCGTGGGAGTGCGAGTGTGAGCCTGGAGGTGCAGTGGAGACGAGGCATTCTTCCTGCATTGGTGCCTCGAGGAAGGTGGTGGAGTCGCTGACGGATCTCCGATGGGATCCCCGTCTTACCAACAAGAAGTCGAGGAATTCAGCGACCCAACAAGGGTTTTGAGACGTGGTGGCGACTGTGGCATTTCCATTTGGCGAACAGCCGCCCATTGAAGGCGGCATCTTCTTGGAATGTTGAAATGATGATATATATATATATATATATAGAGAAATCTGAGAATTGTGAAGCTTGTTCGTAGCTGTTGCCGTGACGGGGAACTGAAGCGGAAATCATAGGTTTTGTAGTGACTGTGCAGGTGTTTCTCTTTCTCTCTGTTGATTGAATGGGTGTGTCTCTAAGTGTGGGTGTTGGGTTGTTTGGTTCTTGGGTTTTTGCAGATTCACGGTGGACAGTGGTGAGGTTTCACGGTGGTGAGATAAAAAAAAAATGAAAGAGAACCGACCTAGCTTTTCGTGTCGCGCCAAATGTTGATGCACAAAATCAGTGAGGACTTTGGTACAACATAAAGTGTTCAGTTTGTGACCTTTGCTAGATTGCTCCAGTCGCTAGTGTGGATAAGTATGTAAATGGATAGAGACAAGGAAGCAAACACAAGATGTACATGGTTTACCCAGATTGGCTACGTCCACGGAGTAGAGGAGTTCTCATTAATTGTGAAGGGTTTACACAAGTACATAGGTTCAAGCTCTCATTTTGTGAGTACTAGTTAATGATTTAGTACAAATGACATTAGGAAATATTGTGGGAGAATGATATCCTTTTATAGAAGAAAGTTTCTAGCTCTGTGTTAACATTGACACGTGTTGTGTTGTGATTAGCTTCTGATGTTGACACGTGTCGCGCTATGATTGGCTTCTGATGTCGACATGTGTCGCGCTGTGATTGGCCTCCTAGTTGGAGGGAAACTCTTCTGGGTCCTTGACGGTATAACGTTGACTGGTGCTCGGTAGTTTCGGGATTGGTCAAGTATGGTACAAACAGTCCTACTACATGGTTTGTATCACGCTTGACCAAGCCTAAAACTACAAGTAAGCTTCAAGTGAAATTGATACATTACCTTGTGCATCTCCACCGGTTAAAGATACCACCCCTGGATGGAGGAAAAGTACTTCCAAAGAAGATGCCACATCTACCTGTGAGACAGATAAGGCAAGTGAAAACGATACCACACATCGGTACTTAGAAGTTTCGTGATCACTCAGCGGCTTGGATCTTGCAAGTCCCCAACCGAGGAGCTTCCCTCACTCGGGAACTTAGGGGAGCACTGTTTGTACCATACTTGACCAATCCCGAAACTACCGAGCACCAGTCAACGTTATACCGTCAAGGACCCAGAAGAGTTTCCCTCCAACTAAGAGGCCAATCACAGCGCAGCACGTGTCGACATCAGAAGCCAATCATAGCGTGACACGTGTCAACATCATAAGCCAATCACAACACGACACGTGTCAATGTCAAAACAAAGCTAGAAACTCTCTTCTATAAAAGGAGATCATTCTCCCACAATATTTCTTAATGTCATTTGTACTAAATCATTCACTAGTACTCACTAAAGGAGAGTTTGAACCTATGTACTTATGTAAACCCTTCACAATTAATGAGAACTCCTCTACTCCGTGGACGTAGCCAATATGGGTGAACCACGTACATCTTGTGTTTGCTTCCCTGTCCCTATCCATTTACATACTTATCCACACTAATGACCGGAGCAATCTAGCGAAGGTCACAAACTTAACACTTTCTGTTGTGCCAAAGTCCTCACTGATTTTGTGCATCAACAAAGCACATATATACAAAACCATGTAATAACTTCTCATACGTTGCTCAATTGGGGTGTTTGAATATACCATTGTGGGACGGAGTTAAGGTCCCAAATTAATAAAAGCCCAAAGAAAAGAAATAAAAACCTGGTTGGGCCATAGGACATAGTAGTCCATTTAATTGGTCCAAAATACCCATTTACGTGCATAATCCTTCGTAACTTTTGCGTTACAAATCCGATTCGGCCCTAATTCGTGTCAACGCGCTCGTGGCATTGCATACGATTTAATTACGCCAGTGAGAAAAATAGTTTAAATATGAATATGTACATCCACATCACTAAACCGCAAGGGAATTATCATCATTCTACATACTCGGGGATAAAATATATACCTTAATTCGGGATGGGTCGTCACAACTGGACTAAAGAATGCAAGTCCATGCCCAAAATAGAGAATTGGTCTTTACCTTGTATTGGTGAGTAACTAGTGGTAAATTTGTTGGGATTTTGAGGTGCTGGATGAAGATGACTGGTTCTCATACTCAGTTACAAACAATAAGATGTATATGTTTTCTAGCTATAACATACCCCTTGTTCTGGTTAATTTTGTCTCTGTATTTTGAAGGTGGACAATTCTTGATCCATGTGTTTTCTTGCGTTAGAATCTTGGTCTCTCTTGCTCATCATGACGTTAAACTACAATATGGTGTGCCGCATTTGGAGGTCGCATGTATGCACATTGAGCATAGTACTTAATTTTAGTATGCATAGGAATGTGGTTTCTAACTCGTTATCCCTACAAGTCAAACATAAAATTCTCCATTTATAAGTAAAGAAAAATACTACTTAACATCTCACATACATTAATGCTCAATTTCATTGTAGGTGAAAAAGAAAATAGAAAATGACTAACAAATTACAACATAGTAATACTTTAGATAAGACCTTTTTAATTCCGGACTCAAACCCTTATCTCCTTTTCCTCTTTAAATAATAATATCACTTGTACCAAAAAAGATCACGTTAATTAAATTGAGGTCTACTCTACTCACTACTTCGGTCTAATAATATTCTTCTTCACTTGTAAGTAAAATATTATGTTCAATTCTCACAAAAAGCGAATTTGAACCACATTATTGCCAGCTCATTGTGAGGCTAAGCTCAGTCACTTCCATCTTAATGTAAATAATAACGTTTGTTCAAAAAATCGAATTGAGGTCTACCAGACAAACGCAAAACACTTGCATGTGTCTGAAAATGCGAAAACACCAGGTTAAAGCTTTATTGTCCGTATGAAGACGCGAATGTAACCATAATATACATATGAAGCGCAGATTCGGGAGCGGAAACAGAGAATCAAGAGCCGCAGATTCCGTGATTCGTGAAAACTCAAAGATGAAACGACATCGTCTGGGAAGGAATCTTTACGTCATCTTCTTCCCCGAGAAGATCTAAACCCTCTTCCGTTCTTGAGCCACCTGCACATCTACTGCAACCTCAGTCTTGGCCGGAGATGTCCCTTTTTTTCTTTTTTTGAATTGAACTCCGGGAATCCTAGCTTTTTATTAGCCGTCCCTAGCCGCTCCGAGCTGTCATTTGGCCGAATCCAGGCGAATTTAAGCGAACCAGCTCCCGATCTCGCTCCCGGAGCGGAATTCGGCATTTGTTTGCCGCTCCAGTGCTTCATAACTAGATAGTCAAGTTCGAATTCATGTTCACAGTTTGAATGTGAAACATCACTTGTATTAGAGGATAGATTTTTTTCATGAACTCGGAATGCAAGTTAGGACACTATCTGTCACAATATAAGTGGAGTAATAATATAATTTTTCAGTGTCTTTCTACTTATATATTAAGCTAAAATGCTAATTTAGTTTTTGAATTATCATCTCAATGAAAATTAGGTCCCTAAACTATATTTTTAGAAAAATTAGTCATTGAATTATAAAAATCTGTCAATTACATCCATAATATTATAGTCAAAGTTACTATATTCAATTTTTCGTCAATTTAAATCACAGTACTTGCATGTGATACACATTGGAGGGTGCCTTGATAGTTTTTCATAAAGAAATAATGTATGTAGTTAACTTTGGAGGGTAAATTAGTAGTTTTTCCTAAGAAATATTGTAAATTAACTTTAGAGATTAATTTAGAAGTTAGATTCGCAACCTGTATGAAATGTTAAGAGTTTATAGGTGAGAAAATGACGATATTACACTCTAAAGTGTGTCAAGTGATTTAAGTTGACGAAAAAATAGATAAAATAGCTTTGAATATAATAGTAGAGATGAAATTAGCAATTTTTGATGAATTTAGGGACTTATTTTACCAAAAAAATAAAGGAAAACTAATGAAAAAAAGCTTGAAAACTTTGAGTTTTAACGATAAGGACAAAATAAAAGGTAAAGTGAATAGTACCAGGATTGACTTTTTAGTGTAAAAATGTGATTTTTCGTTAAAGTGAACAGTATGGGGAGCTTTTCATTAAAGTTCCCAAAAAATAATTCAGGGACCTAATTTTCACTGAGGTGATAGTTCAGGGACTAATCGGCACTTCACCCTATATATTAATATATGGTGTGCCAGTTTCTGTTATGAATACACTGAATACGTGTTATAATACAAGTGGAGTAAAAAGTATAATGTTTTAGTGTTCTTCCACTTATATATTAATACATGGTGTGCCAGTTTGTGTATTGAATAACTAAATAGTGTCGTAATATAAGTAAAGTAATAATATAATTTTTTAGTGTTCGTCCACTTATATATTAATATGTAGTGTGCCAGTTCGTGTTCTGAGTTATTTTTATTTAATATTAAAATAAAATTTCATTTTACTACCCTCAAGTTTTACAAAATTTGCAGTTTATTACATTTACTGTGCATCGCGCATGGTTATTTGTTTGACTTGTCTTATTGACTTTTTTTGGGAGTGATCACCATTGGTTTCTTACATAGCTCCGTGAACTTTGTTAAGGGGGCTTGAGGGGTATGGATGGGTCATGCGTGAGGCTTGTTGGAACATCACTTTATTCTTTAATAGAAGCCATGGTTGATGATTCATCGTGATCAAGTTGCACAGATTAGATCAAATCACTATTTGACCAATGGAGTTGATCATAGCAGCCAAGAATACTACAGCCTTAATGGCCTTGTGAGCTTTGATTGCTTCGGCCCCTTTATTTTGTTGGCATTGTCACTGTCTCTTCTTCTGGACATGGTTTTCTTCATTTGAGTCCGGGCGACATGAGGCAGATGGCTAATGAGTTTGCTGTCTGAAAAACTTGTGGAGGCAAAGTAAAACATTAGTTACCGTGTTTATGGAGATGAAAGGGAGAATGGGTCTCACCGAGCGTGCCAACATATATGTAGAAATGTAATGGGGAAATGCTTGTT